AGGAATGCAGTCAGAGAGGCTTACAAAGGATTCACCTGTTGTTCAATTCGACTTCTTTGACTCAAACGGAAGAAGAATTGAAGTCAGCAACTTGAAGGAACCCGTGGAAATCTTCCTGCCGAGAAAAACAATTCCTTCTGATATCGTGATGCGTAACTATCGAACCTTAGATTCCACTAAACGAATAGAAAGTCTGTCAGTTTATTCAGTTCAGTTGAATCAAAATTTTCGCGACAGGTTTCTTTCTTGGGACATGATCTACTGACGATTGATTATCGAACAAATCGAAGTACGTGATAATCAAATGAGCGTCAATATTTTTAAAATTAGGAGTCTTGTTGATGTATAATTCAGTACATAATAATGCTGCAGTAGCTTATTTGTACAGTATAATACCGCGATTCGGCAGCTCAAGACAGAAAACTTACTTATTCCTCCATAGTCTAACACGCGTATAAGCCCGTAAATTTACGATTTTATTAAATTGAACGTATGTGAAGAACATAGTCCGATTACGATACTAAATGTAAGACAGGACTCACAGGAGTTGAAATGGCGATGTTCAATGTTTTAAGATGAGTTGAAAACAAGAAAAACTACTCGAAAAGAATCAACGTAAAATTCATTATCCGAAACGATAAAATGTAGCAGACCAAGAGTCCGTTCTTTGAGAAAAATCACCATATACTATTGTATCAATTGTTCTCAATTTTTGTAGAGCTCAGAATATGCTTTGAGCTTTCATGTCGTAGCATAATTACAATTTTTTTTAACATTTATACTGAAATATTTTAACATAATACTGAAATTTTTTTCGAATTTTGCATGTATTTCAGCTTTGAACTGTACAAACGTGACCAAGGAGTTATCGGGTAGCACAATCAAGATCATCTACACACAAACTCCTCCTTCCCAAGCTTCAGATGCGGTATTTCTGGAATTCTCATTAACAAATGTTTCGAATCCAAGACCAAACATCTACATTTTGCTCATGGTTGGAAAGAAACCGACTCCGATTTTTGGACAGTTCCAATCATTCGTCTCGATAGAAGACATGAAAATTGAAGCCGGTACGTTTGAATTTGAAAAAGAAAGAATTCCGGTGATTTTTATACGGAAATCTGGCACAGACGGAATCATGTCAGCTACATTGACTGCAAAAAGTGTCGGATCCATTGATAAAAGTGCTCTTAATGATCCCAAGAAGGCAATTTATATCGGGGTCTTGCAATTAAAGTCCGAGCACTCCATGGAAAAAATTGTCAACCTTACAACGTTTGAAAATCTGGAAAAATATTTGGAGTGAGTGACAATAGAACAAATCTCCAGAGGTCTAACCGAGTACAGTATAACAATTCCTCATTTTTCCAATGATTAAAAAGGCCCAGGATATCATCGGACTACTGCATGAGAACAACTTCCGGTGGCGGAAGTTACTTTGACCCGAAGAACGCAACTTGGAGCAACTCTGGGATCAAGGTTTCACATTTTACTTTCCAAAATTTAGGTTCCTAGCGACTTTTATTTTCGCAATGATGATAATAAATTGTTATGCAGGTGAAGACCATGGACGCGGAAGGAATGATTTTGCAAACCACGCATTTGAGTACATTTGGCGCCGGATTCTTCGTCATGCCAAATACAGTTGATTTCAGTTACGTTTTCGCCAATGCTGGTTTCGCTGACAATTTGACAATTTACCTGACCTTGATCGTGACAATCGTGGCATACATTGTCATCTTGTTCTGGGCCATTCGCAAAGACAAACAGGATATTGAACAGGTATTTTCAATTTTTTCGACAATACTTCGACGAGAAGCGCGTCATTTAAACGAAATAAAATATGATAATATATTTTAATTTGAGCAGCAAGGGATTTTGAGCATTTCTGACGATAATTTGAAGCTTTCTGCATTTTTCCAACTTTTACTTTCAGCTTGGTGCTTTGTCCTTGCCCGACAACAAATCTCAAGACAAATACCTGTACGAAATCATGGTGTTGACAGGAGACCAAAACAGCGCCATGACTGACTCCAAAGTTTCGGTGGGTTGAATTGACTAACATAGGACATCGTGAATTTTATATAAAATATTAAATTAACTTTTTTTCAATGGAAATCAGTTTATTGTCAGCGGAGAAGACGACGAAACAGACGCGAGAACATTTGGAAAGCCGAGCGGATCCAAGCGCCGATTTTTCAAAAAGGGACAAATGGATTCGTTTGTCATGTCCTGTCCGAGGTGAAATAATGAATTTAGAAGATTCATGTCAATATTATCACAATAAAGAAAAATGTGTTGGCTTTAATATTGCAGACCGTTGGGAAAACTGAGCTATTTGAGAATTTGGCATGATTGCTNGAATCCTCCTGGTTTTGCACATACGTGATTTTGAAAGATTTACAGACTGAGGAACGTTTTGAGTTCATCTGCAATGATTGGCTCGCTCTGGAGGAAGGAGATGGCATTGTAAGTTTCTCAACAGCATCATTCAAAATATGGAAGAAAAAATAATTTTAGCGACAGATGTAATGAAAAACCTTTTTCCCCGGATATTCGACGTACTTTTCTATCACATAAGTTAGCCAAGAAAATTTAATGTGCGCATTATATCCAGAATTCAGCGCAAAAATATTTGATACATTTATTTTCGGATGTGTCAATATTTTCTAGGCGCAGTGTCAAATTTTAATAGTAAAAAAAACAGGACGAACTTGATCTTCATGGAGATGATTATCTTGCGCTACCTCGAAATTTAAAATTTTTGAATCCGTTGAAAAATCCACTTTAATTTTTTGGAAAGGTTGACAGACATACAATATATCGGTTTAGTGGACAGGAGATGAGCAAAAAGAGAAATTTGAATCTTCAAAAATTAAAACTTTTTGATTTCCTAAAAAACAAAACAATCCAATTTATATTTTTGCAAATAAGGTTGACAGGCTGATTCCAGTGGCAGGAAGCGAACAAAAGAAGGAATTCAAGTACTTGTTCAACACAGCCAAGTCCAACAACTTGAGAGACGGACATCTCTGGTTCAGCATTTTTCTCAGGCCACCCAGAAGCAGGTTTACTAGGGCCCAAAGAGTGTCCTGTTGCATGGCCCTACTTTACCTAACCATGCTCACCAATGCCATGTGGTACGGCACTACCAAAGAGAAACCCGGGTCTGGCACGTTAAAGTTCGGTCCTTTCGCCTTGGGGATCGAGCAGGTGACTTTTTTATATTCACTTTTTCCAACTCTGAAAAATGATTTGGTATGTACGTTATCAATATGCTGTTTTTTTAAATATTCATTTGCAGATTGGAGTTGGGCTGATGGCGAACTTTGTGGTACTTATACCCAGTATGCTAATCATTACTCTTTTCAAGAAGTCCAGGCCGAGGAAACTCAGGAAATCCAGGATCAACGAGGCACTGAAAGCTCATGGTGAGAATAACGAATCAATGTTCGATGTGGAAATTGAATGACCAATTGTGCTTCATTTCTAAAAACAAAGGCTCTTTGGACGAGACCAAGCCTCAGCAATCGCAAAAGTAAGTCAATTCTTGAATTGCTGTATGTGTTCTGGCAAGTCGAAAAGGCTGCTGATTGATTTGTTGTGTATATAAATCAAGTAGTAGAGCGTCCGCAGAGCACCAAGCGTAAATCTTTTCTTTTCTTTTATTTATTTATAAAAGAAAAAATAAATAAATAAATTCAAATCTTAGTGGGATTCAAACCCACGCCTGCAGAACCAGACTGTGATCTGAACACAGCGCCTTAGACCACTCAGCCATCCTGACAACTTAATGTAATGGATGCATTTTCCCTTCTGAAAAACAAAAAGTAAACAAGGTGCAAAATTGATAGGCCACAGATGTCACGGGTCGACTAGATGTCGCCCGCGCATGCCCCGATTAACTGGGAAAAAATAGGTGCTGCCCGAGTCAGCACAACAACAGAATGTACGAGAGTACGACGTGGCATACAAAACGCTGCGTCGTCCTCGCAACTCAAAAAAAGTATTCCTGAAAAAGGAGTAAGTATTAATAAATTATTATTTCATCATTTTTATCTTTAAGAAAAACAAGATTCCTTGGAAACCTAA